TCCCAGCCTCCCAGCTGGCGGTTTCCCAGGAGGCTCCCTCCTCACGGGTTTGGATTCCCCTACATTCTCCTCCGTTTGAAAAGAGAGGCAGCAACAGCAAGCTGGCCTTCTCTTGTCGGCTGGGCTCAGGAGGTGAAGCCGTGGCTGGGGTCCCCAGCCTGTCCTGGGGGGGGTGCCCTGGGACCCCGCAGACCCCTCTGAGCAGGGGCCAGGAATGGGGTCAGCGCTGGGAGGGAAGGAGGGAGTGAAGGAGGGGCAGGGTGGGAGGGGTCTCCAGGTGTTCCCCAAACCAGCCTGGGTGCAGGATGGCTTCTGCCCCCTAATGCCACACCTCTGCTCCCCGGGGCCTCCCTCCCCCTCCTCTCTTCCTGCTCACGCCTCCTGCTGTCCTAGGGGCTTGGAAGGAGTGACAACCCATCCGTGCACTGTCCTCTCAGTCCCGGGCTTGAATTATACATGGGGGGGGGCACCTACGAATGATAGTAGTAGGTGTTCAGTGACAGTTAGTTCATTTACCAGCTCTGGGCATGCGGTAGGTGTCACAGAAGTACTCCAGGTAGGGTCCACGTGGGTCTCTCAGGTGTGGGAGGGGAGCGTGGACCATTCAGCTTAGCTCTTACATGATGCACTGCCTTTCGGACCCATCTATCACCACAGGTCCCAATGGGTGTTTGCCAAACACCACACACCGCCTTCCCTCGGGAAGCATTTACGGACTCACATGCGTTGTTAGTTTGAGGCACGAGATAAATCTTCGGTAGGGGTTTTGGTCCCATTCTACAGATGAGGAAACTGAGCCATACCAGGGAAAAACTGACAAGGAGGAGACTAGGGGCTGCCTCTCTGACTTGATCCCCGTCCTCACACCATGTAACCGACAGCAGAGTCCTGGGCTGGTTCTGTGGGTTTGAGGAAGGGCCCGAGTCCCACTGAAGGCTTGACCCTCCTCCTCGCAAAGTCCAGTATGTTTCTGTCAAAACTTCTCCCTAGGATCTGTCGTTCCCCCAGGCTGCAGAGGGGCCTTAGAAAATCTATGGAAACACTTCCAGCTGGAGGGCTGGTGGCTGTGAACCATTTACAATGTTCTCTCCCCTTCCTGGGTCTTACTGTTTTAAGATCCCAACCATAAAGACGTCTGGCACTTGTGGTCTTTTTCCTGCACTGCACCATTTGACCCTCTCAGTACTGGCGGGGCTGGGGTAGGACTCTTCCCATTGTGCAGATGGAAAGACTGAGTTGCAATTGGCTTGGTGGGTTGAGAACGGGCCGTTTTCATCAGACCCTCTGACGCGCATATTCAGGGCAGTGGCCAGGGGTCACTTACTCCGGAGAAGAGGTGAGCAGCCTCCTCGAGGAGATGGGGAGTGGGATCCAGACCACCTTGCTTGGGCCCCAGGAGGGGCTCAGGTCAAAGCCCCAGGGTAGGTTTTTGCAGTGGGGCAGTGCTGGCAGGCCTCGCAGCTGCTGAGAGTCTGGCCCTTTTGTTCAGGCTCTAAAGATTCCAAGATGCCCCTCCCAGCTCTGCTAATCCCAGACCCTTTGATGCCTGCTTACAAGCTCCTGGCTTCCCCCAGGCCAGGACTTTCAGGCTTCCCAGGTTGGGCCAGGATTGCTGGGAGTTACTGAGGGCAACTGCTCCGGGCAGCAGTCCTCAGCCACCCACCCCCCAATACAGGCACTCTCCCCACTGTATGGAGGGGATCCTGAGGCCCCAGGGAGGTGTCTGGACTGGCTCAGGGTCACCTAGTTGTGAGGTGAGGACGGAGATTTGAACCTGTCCAAAGCTGGCTGTGCTCCCCCTCGGCCCATGCCCCCGGACTCTGCACATGGGATGGGTCGGGGGTGCCTGGGACTGCATCTGTAGTGGAGGTGAGTACCCCCTGCTGACCTGAATCTCTGAATCGTGCATCGCTCCCAGGGACCCTGGCAGCAAGTCTCTAGGTAGTTGATGTGTTGGCATACACTGAAGGAGCCACCCAAAACAGGAGGAGAGAGGGTGAGGAGGAGGGAGGTAGGAAAAACAAGGGGAAAAAAATCTTTCTTCTGGTTTTTTTTTTTTTTTTTTTTTTAATGTGGAAAAACACTCTTTCCCAGGGAGACACGTCAATCCCACGCAGGCCCAAAGGTCCGTGATCTGAGGCAGTGCCTTGAGCAGCTGCTCTGAGAGGCATCAATGAATACTTCTATTTTATTGCTTTGGGCCCCAAGTGATTGAAACTCCAGGTCTGGGTGCCTCAGCCTCCCAAATGGAGGGTTCTCACCTCCTGCCCAGCCCGCCCCTCCACGCCCCTCCTGACCCTCTCCCTGTCCTTCCCCTGCTGTTGGCCAGGCCCATCAACGGGGCTCCGGGCTCAGCCACATACAGGTTGAGGTGCCGGATTCCAGGTCCCAGTTTCTGCCTAGGGCTCGCTGAATGCCAGGGGGCCATCTGTGGGGGCAGCCTGGGGGATGCGTGAGGAGGGGCGGGGCATCTGGTGCAGGTCTGAGCCTCCGCTCCCTTCCCTGGGCACCAGGACAGGTGGGTTCTGGAAGCTCCAGCTCCAGGCTGCAAAGTGGGAAGGTTTAGCAGGACAGGAGAGTCCTTCCGGCCTGGCTCCTCTCACCTGGGCCCAACCTCAGGACTGGCTGGAAATCTCTGAATTGGGATCACACCAACAGCTTTCTCTTTTCTGTTTTTCCTCCCTGTCTCCTGCCTTGATTTCCATCTTTTTCTCCTCCTCTCTTTTTCCAACCCTCTCCTTTGTGTCCCTTTCTTTAAAAAAATCAGGCAAATTAGGAGTCAGTTCACTTTTATATCAACACCACTTCTCCAGAACATTTCCCTCAGCTGCAGCACTCGTAAGGGCCTCACTGATATTCCCGGGCATTAATTAGTCCAAAGAAGGGGTTAAGGATAATAAGAAAAACCAGGCCTGTGACCACCACCTCCTCTGGGCAGCCTGACCCCCCTGCAGCTCAGACGTGGAAGGACATTGGGCGGGTCCAGAGATATTTTTGTGCCTCCTTTGGGAAAACTCTCTTGGATGGATCTAGCCTGTCCACAATATGCAGGGACCTTATGATACCCTGACTGTGCCAGGGACAGGTCTGTTTACTGCTGGGCTGGGCCCCAAGGGGGCCATGGCCTTGAGTGTGGACTCTGGAGGCCAAGAGGCCAGGATCTGATCCCCAACTCCCAACACCTCCTAGCTGTCTGGCTCCAGACAAGACCCTGAACCTCTCAGAAACTCAGTTTTCACATCTGGAAAGTGGGAGTAACGATCACGGCTAACTCAGGATGCCCTTGAGAAGAGTCCATGAGAGCCACCGCCTGAAGCACGGGGCCAGTGCCTGCCTCACAGTCACTGCTTGATGAATGCTCACGGGGACTGATGGCCACATTATGAATTGTAAGGTCCCCGGGGGCAGAGTATCCCAGGACTCACAGCCGGGTCTGTTTGTGCAAGAGTGGATGATGCAAACAAGAACAGCGCCAGGCGGGGGCCGCTGCCAGCTCCCGGGGGAGGCCGAGCCGTAAACAGGCCTGCCACCAGCTGTCGGGACCCATCCAACTGTTTTGGAAGTGACTGGAGCATCTGCCACTGGCTGCTGGCTGTGCTCTGCCCCCGGCCTCCGGCCTCCGCTGCAGAGGGCAGGGAGTGTGGTTGCTCTGCAGGCCCCAGCTGCCTCTGCCTGCGCCCTGGGGCTCTCTCCACCCCTGTCTCACACCCCAGCTTTCCCTTATGTGAGGAGAGCTTTGCTGTCCTTCCTGCACAGCGGGGGTGGGGGGTTGGGGGTGGGGGTGGGGGGCTTGGCCTCCCCACGCCTCATGTCTCCATCCTTTGCCTGGTTCTCTTCCCCCACCCCGTTCCAGGCCATTCCCCTGGTTTCTGAGGAGCCACCTGAAGTCAGATCCACTGCCCACCTGAGTCAGATCCCCTGCACCCCCTTTGCTCAAAAACAATCCAAAAGTGTTCCATCCTCTTGCCTGGCCTGGTGGGAGCTGCATCTCCCTCTGGCTTCCCTCCTCTCCCTGCCAGTTTTGCCCCCACTTCTCAGCCTCATGACCCTTTGTTATAGCCACTGTGCATTTTCCACTGTCACCCCAGATCCACCCTGACTTGCTGACCTTTGCCCAAGCTGCCCTTCCACCTGGAGGGCCCTTTCTCTGCCACTCCGTCTGGGGACATCCACCCAGCTTTTCAAAAGCTATCTCCTCCCTGGATATGTCCTCATGCACTCTCTGTCTCTCTGTCTCTGTCTCTCTCTCTCTCTCTCTCTCTCTCACACACACACAGACACAGACACACACACGCACGCACACACACATGCACCCGCACACACACATGCACCCACACGCACACATGCGCCCAGGGGCTCGTCTCCCATCGGGGCACTCCCGAAGCGCATTGTTACATAACATTTTCTCTCACTCTTTACATTGTGTCACAGTCTCTGCAGACTAATTTCCTCCCCTGAGCCCCAGACAGTTGCAGGTACAGCTCACCACGCACCTGGCTGCTCTCGCCTCACAAAACTGTGCACGCAGACACACTCCAGAAACGCCGCAGCACATTGATGCCCACGTGCATAAACCTAGCTCCCTATTCACCTGACCTAAGAGCCTTCCTGAAACTCACCTGTCCCCCTCAGATACTGCCCAAGGCCCACGGAACCCACAAGAGCTCCACTGCTAAACCCGACCCATTTCCATGTTTAGAAGTGCACAGCGGGTGATATTCTGAGCCGAGCGTCCTCCAGGAGAATGCATAAGTGCGTGCCTACCGGCTGATTCTCTGTCCCCCCAGGTCCAAAGTGGAAGTCCCCAGCATGCTTCATAACCCAAGAGACAGGAGAGACAGAGAGAGAGAGAGAGACAGAGAAGAGAGAGAGAGAGAGAGAGAGAGGTGCAGGCAAGTAGTCTTGATGATAAGGAGTCACAGACAAGCAGCGCAGTGGTTAAGTCCCAGCCAAACAATCTTTCTCGAAGTCCGTGGAAGAAAGTTGAAAGCATGCATTACCTGTTAGGCTCTGAAACAGGGGCACACAGTTCAGGGGTACTAAAAAGGGTTTTCTTGAGGGTGTCTGAACTCAGAACATGCTCCCTGAGTTTTCCTTCTGCCCTGGCCCTGAGGCTCCTGGCTCCTCTGCCAGGCAGTTCTGAAATGCTTTCCTTTGAAGCAGGGAGTTTATTTCGGGCCCACCGCATGACCAGCGATGGCAAGCCAAACTATAAGATGTTGTGCATCTCGGATGTCCTGTTTGGAGATCGCCCCGGGGAGGCCGCCCGCCGCCCGCAGCCCCTCCACGGTGCGTCAATTAGGGACCTCGCGGCAGAGAGCATCTCGGAGCACGGCCCTCACGTGATGTCCTCATCCGTGATCCTTGACACGGAGGCCATATATGGGTATGTTTCTGGAACTCCCCGGGAGGGAGCGAGAGAGGAGAGAGATGGGAGGGAGAGAGACACAGAGAGGGGGAGGGAGGGTGGGCCGCCGGAGCCGGAGCCCAGGAGACAGAGCGGGGGATGCTGGGGCGCAGGAGAAGCAGGGTGGGAAGAGGTGATGGAGAGGGTGAAGGAAGGGCAGAGGTGCAGGAGGGGTGCACGTCGGGCATGCATGCGAGAGGAGAGAAGAAGAGATCATGGGAGAAAAGAGGGCAGCAAGGGGAGAGGGACCCTGGGATTATCCCGGGATGGAAAGGGAAAGGGGAGCGTGGACGCAGAGACAGAAGAGGGAGGCCAGGGGAAGGTGGGGGGGGGGGCAGGGAGGCAGGGGATGGACAGGAGGAGAGGGAAGGAGCCGGAGGGGAGCGTGTCTGGGTTGGGAGTAAGCAGCTTCGGCAGACCCCTGCTGAGCGTGCCCCCCCCCAGAGCCTGCTTGGAGGTTCAGGGATGCCAGGGATGCCAGGGTGGGGCTGCGCTGCAAAAGGCAAGGCAACAGATAAGCAGACAGACAAACCAGCACGTGCACAAGCCCTGGCAGCCGCACCGGCGGAGGGAAGCCTTCCTCCAGGGCCAGGGAAGAAAGCCCCTGTTTCCGGAATAGATCGAATGGCACAAAATGTCACCACGGGGCACAGACAACACCCGCAGACACACTCACTGGGCATCCAGGATGCTCCTGGCACGCTGCCAGACACTTGCAGCCCCACAGGCTGGGGTGAGGGAGGGGGCTGGGAATGCCACCTGGTCTGTTCTTCCAAATGGAAAATAATTTCCATTTTAAAGCCCATTCCCCGTGGAGGGTATTGGGTTTATGATCCCATAGCTATGATCCCATAGCGTGATTTCTTATCAAGTCCAACTCAGGAGAGCCTCTTGGAATATTCCACCTGGAAATAAACCTCAGTGAAGACAGGGTACCGTGGGTTCTGGTGGAGGTTCTGGATGTCTGACCTGGTGCTGGGGAGAGGACATGATCAGTCCCGAGCTGTCTCCCAGTAACTTGCTCTGGCACCTGCCAACTTATGCATCATCCCAGCTGCCCCACCCCCCAGGCTGCTGAGGTTGGCGGCCCCTCAAGGTTAGCTCATGCTCAGCCCCTGCCAGACCCCTGTGCCATGGTGAGGGTGTGAGAGAAGGGCAATGAGGGGCCACCCAGTTCTTTCTACCGTTTGGGGATTTTCCTCGGCGGTTAGAGGTTCCAGTGGATCCCGTGGAGTGCATCCCTGTGGTCCTGCTGTTTCATGGGCTCCCCGCCGGGGGTGGGGCACAGGTCCCTCCAGACTTGGCCTGGGAGGGGTGGGCAGTGGGCAGGCACAGCATCCCTTCTCAAGTGGCCCCTTGCCTTACTTCTCCCTCCCAATCCAGACAAACCTCTTATGGTTGAGAGAGCTGGAGAAACTCACTGTCCAAATCCTGTTGCCTTATGCCTTCAATCAGTTTTTGAACATCAAGAGCCTAAATTGTGGGTAGAGAGTCACAGGGAACAGAAAGTGCATTGGGTGTGGCCAGCAGGGGCAGGGGCTGGCCAGGCACGCTTCCACTAATAAACGGCTTCACTGCTCGGTGGGAGGATGGGGTAACCGGGTGACGGGCATTAAGGAGGGCACGTGATGTGATGAGCACTGGGTGCTGAAAGCAATGGATGAATCACTGACCTCTACCTCTGAAACTAATGATACACTAGAGGTTAACGAATCAAATTTCAATAAAAATACATTCTTAAAAAAAATGGCATCATTTTTCTGTACCCACACAACCTTCCTGGCAGGTGCTGTCAACATCCCCATTTCACAGATGTGGGGACTGAGGCTCAGGGGGTTGGGGAACTTGTTTGTAATCTCATGATGTATAAGAGACGGTTTAGGTCTGAACCGCAACTGCCTGATACAGAAAGCAGTGCCTTTAGCCACAGCTACCCACTGCCCCCGGCCACCCTGCCCCGTGTAACGGGGAATCCGCATGTTGGAGCGGAACAAGGAACAAACTCCGCAATGTTACGGAGGTAGGTTGGTGAACATTTGCTTTTACCCTGATCCTGACTCATCCCAGCTGAGAGGCTTGATGCTGTGGTCAAAGTCCACAAAGCCCAAGCCAAAGACAGGTTGGCCTGTCTGTTGGCACCACTGGCTGCTTCTCTGCAGAACAGGCTGGAGTCTACCCTGGAGATTCTTTACTGTTATTATTATTTTAATTTTTTAGAGAGGAGACAGAGAGAGTGGGGAGAGGGGCGGAGGGGGGAGAGAGAGAGAATCTTAAGCAGACTCCCTCTGAGTGCAGAGCCTGGCACGGGGTTCAATCCCACGACCCTGAGATCAAGACCTGAACTGAAATCAAGACTCAGATACTTAACAGGCTGAGCCACCCAGGTGCCCCTCTACCCCAGACATTCTTATGAATTCATCCAAGTCAATGCCTGAACACTACTGATTTCTTAAAACTTCTTATTAGAGCATTACATACACAGAAAAAGTGTACCTATGTGTATAGCTCAGTCGAATTTTGCAAACAGAACACACACACACACACACACACACACACACACACACACACGGCCTATCCCTTCCAGGCTTCTCTCCTTGTTTATTTTAATCTGAATTCTCATAAATAGAGGTGTGTGTATGTGTGTATGCTCGCGGGCATGCGCACACGTGTGTGCATACATGTGATGGGGAGGCCGCTCATAGAGCCCTACACCTAGCAGGGCCCAGAGAGGACGCCAAAGCCAGCACATTTCCCTATGACAATGACACCTCTTCCAGGAAGGAGAGAAAGAGGGAGGGGGGAAGAGGAAGAGTCAGCTAAGCAGGGAGGAGGGAGCTGAGATGTGGGTCAGTGCCAAGTCCTGGGACAGCTCTGACCCAGCGATGGAATATCACCTGCTAAAATAAACACCCCCGTGGCCTTGGCATCCTGGCCCTCCGCCCTGGCTGCCTCTTGATATTAGTTTATTTTGGTGTCAAGAGATGAGGAACAGACAAGAGTCCAGTTCTCAACCTGGACAGCATCCTAAATGGGAGGGGTGGACAAAGGGCAGACAGCAGGGGGCGGGGTGAGGTGGTGGGGCCCACAGAGGCCAAGTCCCAGGAGGGAGGAAGGCAGATCTATGGAAAGGGAAGGAAGGGACCAAGGAGAACGTAGAGCCACATCCCAACTTCTCTTCCTTTCTTTAAAGTGGGCACCGTGTCCTCTGATGTGTGGCAGGTTGTACTTTCCTCTGGAACAGTCCGGATCCCCTCACCCTCCCAGGTACATGGGCTCCAGGGAGAGAAGACAGGCCACCTTCCCATTTCTAGAAAGTGGCGTCGGGACAGAGCCCTTACCCCTCAGGAGAAAGGGGCAGGCCAGCCTCATGCCCTATCAACACCCTACACATAGGGGTGACACCCACTAGGATGAGGGCCCCCAGGGACCAGTCAGCGGCTGCCTGGTTCAGCCCTGTTCTCTCCAATGCCCCACATGCATGTAAGGGGAGGAATAGTGGGATCTTACAAGGGTTCTCATCAAAACGAGCGATCTGTGGTACAAGTCCAGGCCTGGGACACGGTGCTCCTGAAGCCAGCTGGGGCCTTCCTGAGTCACAACTGACCCTTCACATGAGAGTGGTCAGGACAGAAAGAAACTGCAGGACCATGGGCTCAGCTAGCCTCACCGCTCCCTGCTCTAAACCCCTCGTGCAAACCAGCGACCATCCCCAGCTGGCGGTGCTGAGCTACCCCTGCTCCGAAGTGCAGAGTAAGGGGATCCCTGGGTGGCTCAGTGGTTTAGCACCTGCCTTCGGCCCAGGGCATGATCCTGGAGTCCCAGGATCGAGTCCCATGTCGGGCTCCCTGCGTGGAGCCTGCTTCTCCCTCTGCCTGTGTCTCTGCCTCTCTCTCTCTCTCTCTCTGTGTCTCTAATAAATAAATAAATAGAATCTTAAAAAAAAAAAAGAAGTGCAGAGTAAGGCCATCTTGCACCCTCCTGGCTTTCAGCTCCTGGGAAAGACCCATCGGCTGCAGAAACCCCGGAGTCCAGGACCATCCGGGTGAGGGTTCTGACTTTCTCCAGTGGATGTCTTGACCCCCGGAGGGTGTCCCGGGCCTGGTAGGAGGGGGTCCCAAATGGCTGGGATCTGCTTGGCCAACCTTGTGCAGATGGTATCTTCCTTGTTGGGAGATGCCACCCACATGCAATCCCAGTTAGCACCACACCATCCTGTCTCCAGCATGGGAACAAGTACCAGATAATCCCTGCCTATTCCTCACCTGCTGCGGGATCCTGGCCACAGCCCCACACCTCACTGAATCTGTTTCATCTTCTGGGAAAAAGGAGAGAGATGACTCCACTTTCCTAATGGCTATTAGGGGGTGAGATGAGATCCGGGGCTCAAAGAGCCCACCTGGGGCTCAGGACTCAGGAGATGGTGAATCCTTAGGACCTCTTCCTCTGTACCTGCTACCTGCAGGGGGCTGTGTGGGAGGCGAGGGCATCTCCCATGGCCAGATGAGCTCAGGCAGCCGGTGGGCCTCATTGGGCTGACCCATCCCAGAGGCTGCTGGCCCTATTAGCTGGTCAGGTCACGTGGCCCCCTCCAGAGCCTGGTCTCACTGGGCCTGAGTCGCCCTTGGGAACTCAGAAACAAAGGTAAACCCGAGTGAGCTGCTGGGAGCAGGTGTTTTATGAACATCACTGTATCCATAGCAGGGCCGGGAGCTTCCTACTGCCCTTTGGTAGGAGAGAAAGGACTCTCCCAAACAAGACCAGCACGCAGACCCTACCACCCATCCTCCTTCCCAGGGATGAGCCACTGGCTGTGTTGGGCACCGAATGCCCTGCTGGCCGCAGCAGCTCCTGGCTGCCCCCTCATCATCTGGCCAGAGCTGAGGCCAGATCTCAGACCCATTCCTTCT